GTGGGGTTTGTGCCTCATAGGATCGCACCACCCCAGCCGCTAACTTGGGGCCGGGGCCCCTCCCCTCCACTTATACCTTGGGTTTGTGCATGTTTTTTGCTGGGTGGGATCAGAGGGCAGTTTCTCTTTTATGTGTACATACGCTAAATAAACGTAATTTAAAAAACATGCCTATCTGGTACCGTTACTGGGTGGCTGGTATTGAGAACTGCCTTGAAGGATTTGAGTGAGTAAAAAGTAGGAGAGTGGCCCAGTGGGTTTGCTGCTGTGCTCACTGGAGACCATGCAGAGAAACCAGGTTCCGGTCCTCAGTCTGCCTCAACATTCAGAGCACACCCATGACCCAGTGTAGAAACGGTGGAGGACGCCTGTCTCCTTCCATTCCTCACCCCCTTGCCCCGGAATAGAGTTATGAAAGAAAGGAAAGAGGAGGGAGAGGGATGAGAAGGCCTGTTCACTCTAGGTACATGTCAGGTCGTAAGAGCCTCTTTGCACTGCCGTGCGCTGTGAGCTCTGTTCCCTTCGTACCAGACTGCCGAGAAGGTTCAGGATCCTACCTTTCTCCAAAGTCGGGAGGAGTGGGCTGGTGCTCTGCCGTAAGCAGTGCTAACAGACACTGCCGCTGTACCTGGGGGAGGGGAGAGGGGAGCTAACCAGGGGCTTCCCACTCTGCAGCTTCTTATCCTCTTGGAAAGAGGTGAGGCCCAGGTGGAAAGAGGAGATTCCCAGTCTGCGGCAGCTTCTGCTGATTGAGTACTACACACCAGACTAGGCGGTTTTGCATAGCTCATTTAACTCCCACCGTGGCCCTGGCACCATAGCCCTGTGCAGGAGGTATTATAGCATTCTTTTCACAAAAAATTTTTAAAGAGACTTTTGCTATAGGGCACGTGCACTCACTAGAGAGACAGAAATCACCCCTTTGGGCATAATGCACACATGCCCATCGGAAGTTTCAAGCTCTCAGGTCCAGGACTCAATCGTCAGCCATGTGGGAATCCAGCCACATAAGCGTTACACCATTACGTCATCTGCTGGTCCCTTCACGAGAACATAAATGTTGATTTTTTTTTTTGGCTCTAGGGCTAGTGTGCACTTGGAGAGAGAAAAAGAAGTCACTCCTCAGGAGGAGATGGCTATGCCAAAATCCCTTCTCTGTTCTCCTTTTAGGATCTTGGATGTGCCTGCACTCACCTCGTGTGTTTTTCAAACCACCAAATCCAGGACTTGAATAGCATGGCCATGAGGGAGATCCAGCCACTCTAATCACTACACCACTGGCTGGCCCTAAGCCTTGCTTTTCTAGAAAAGATTTTACAGGGGGGCCAGCAGGTGGTGTGGTTAAAGGCACATGGCCGACTGCGGTACGAGTCCCGGCCCTGGTGGCTTGCTTTCTTGTTTTCCTTTTATCTCTCTCTCTCTCTCTGGTCAAATTTAAAAATAATAACCACAAATGAAGTTAACTGAGTCATTTTTTTAAAAATTTTTACAGGGGGGACCAGCAGATGATGTAATGGTTGCATCACTGGGTTCCCATGTAGTCGACTACAGTTTGAGTTCCAGACCCGGACCTGGCAGTTTAAACTCATGCCAGGCTTATATGCATGCCTGCCCAAGATCCTGAGAGGAGAATGGAGAAGGGACTGTGGTGCGGCCATCCCCCTGAGAGTGATTTCTCACTTTGTGTCTCTGTCTTTCCGGTGAGTGCATGTGATCTATACCAAAAGCCTCTTTAAAAAAAATAAAAAAAATACACATATACACATAAAAGGCTGGCAGGTGGTGTGGTGGTTAAAGACGCTAGATTTCCACATGGCCGACTGTGGTTTGAGTCTCAGACCTGGCAGCTTGCTTTCTTGCTCTCTTGCTTTCCCTTTCTCTCTCTTCAAATTAAAAAATAACAAGTGGATTTAAATTATTATTTCAAAAGAATTTTTTTTACAGGGGCCCACATATGGTGTAATGGTTACATTGCTAGACTCCCACCTAGTCAATTGGGATTCAAGTCCTGAACTGGGCAGCTTGAAACTCATGCCAGGTATGTGTACATGTGTACCCCAAATCCCAAGAGTAGACTGGAGAAAAAGGGATTGCAGTGTAGCTATCCCCTCTGGGAGGTGATTTCTCGCTTTCTGTCTGTCTCTCCTGTGAGCATACATGCCCTAGAGCAAAAATCTCTAAAGAAAAAAATTTTACATATATATTTACTTTAGTAAGCCTTGGATTTCTTATCATATCCTGGATCCCGCAGCTGATAAGCAGAGATGAGACTGGAACAAGGACTGGAACTGCACAGTCCCTGCTCAAGGCAACCCCTACATCCACCACCTTGTCAGTCGGGTTCATCTTTACAAAGAACAGCTGCATTTCTAGTATGGACGTGTCCCTACTGGAGTACAGAGTTCCAGGCCTTTTGGTACTTTGAGAAATAGAGAAAAAAAATTGATGTTAAGTTTTTGTGTTTATTTGCTGTAGGGCACATGCACTCTCCTGAGAAGGAAAGTGAGGAGTCACCCCTGCAAGGAGATAGCACATCACCATCCCCTCTCCATTCTCCTCGGGATTTTTGAGCAAGCACACACATGTGCCCAGCATTTTGCAAGCCTCTGTGTCCATGACTTGAACCACGCAATTGGGCATGTGGGACCTAGCCACTTAACCACTATGCCACCAGCTGGCCCGTTAAGAGTATGTTTAAATGCCTGGTGCCATTAAACATGGTTGCTGAGCACTATGCCCAGTGCTGGAGGACACTTCCAGTGGAGTGTGTATTGCCACATTGTGGGAAAAGGTAACCTGCATGGGGAAAGTCACGTTTCTGGACAAGCCCTGTCCGGGCTTCCTAAACCCGAGTGGGTGAGTGCCCTCTAGCAAACACTGCTTCCTGCAGCTCCAGCTGTTCCTTCGCCTGTTTTATTAGGTGGCAGCAGGGCCTACAGGCTACTCCTACCAACATGACCTGGTCAAAATACTGTAATTAAAGCAGAAAACCAGGGTTCTGATCTGGGTCATTTAGACCCCCCAGAAGCCATCTTTGGTTGAAACACTCAGGTGCTGGACTGCACTGATGCAGTTAATTTGACATTGTTCCTTCCTCCTAGTAGTTCAAAAAGATGCCTTTTGATAAAGACTCTATCTTGAATCAAATAAATGGGCCCCTCAACACAGGCACCTTCTCTTAACACAGACCATTAACAAAAACTGGAGCCTGGGGCTAGCAGATGAAGTGGTGGTTGGGGCACTGAACTTCCACGTGGCCAACTGCAGTTCGAGTCCCAGGCCTGGCAGCTTGCTTTCTCAACTTACCCTCTCTGTCTCTCTGGTAAGTGCCTGTATCAAATGGAAAACTAATGATAAATAAAATTAAATCTTAAAAAAATAACAACAACAACAAAAAACACTAGAGCCTTCTCAGTCCTAGTTGGAAAGTTACTAGTTCCAGAATATTTAGAAAACAATCTGAAGTAGAGATTATAAACACTGGGCCAGCTGGTGGGCATGGAGGCTGAGGTGGCTGGATCCTATATGGCCAAATTCATGGTTTAAATCCCAGACCTGGTGGCTTGAAAAATACCCTAGCCACAGGTTCGTGTGTATGCCCAAAGTCCCAAGTGGAGAATGGAGAAAAGACTATGGTGTGGCCATCCCCTTTTAGGGGTGCTTTCTCACTTTCTCACCTAGTCTCTGGTGAGTGCACATACCCTTAATAATTTTTTAAAAGATTATAGGGGTCAGCAGGTGATGCAGTAATTAGAACTCTGGACTCCCAAATGGTCGACTGTGGTTGGAGTCAAGGACACAGCAGCTCGAAATTCATACCACGTATATATGCGTGCATGCCCAAAATCCTGAGAGTAGAACGAAGAAGGGACTGTAGCATGGCAACCCCCCAGGGGATACTTTCTCACTTTGTCTCTTTGGTGAGCACACATGCCCTATAGCAAAAATACCTCTTAAATAATAATAATGATGTGCTGGAACCAGCAGATGGCATAGTAGTTACGTGGCTGGACTCCCACATAGTCAACCACGGTTCGAGTCCCAGACCCAGCTACTTGAAACACACTGGGCACGTGTGTGTGTGTGCCCAAGAGGAGAATGGAGGAGAAGGGATTATGGCATGGTCATCCCCCCTAGGGGATGATTTCTTGCTTTCTGTCTCTCTTTGTCTCTCTGGTGAGTGCACATGCCCTACACCAAAAATCTCTCAAAAAAAAAA